TCAGACTCACTTCCTCTGGGTCAGAACACCCTTCAGTGGGGTCAGACATTGGTGAGGGCTGTGTTTGTAAGAACAGCATGTGGCTAAAATGATCATTGAGACTTGGTTTTGGAACAGACTACACTGGAAACCCATGTGGAGCCTCTCATCATCACAGTGTAGCACTGCCGGGTTTCCCTCTGGGTTGGAAGGTGTACACTTTTTCCTTAACAGCAGCTCAGCGGGTGAGATAGTTGGCTTGTGTTACAGGATCAAGTTGTATGCAAATTCAGTCCCCCATGGTTAGACTCACTGGCAGCTCCCTGAGATACTGGCATGCACGGGGCCTGGGTCTGATTGAGAGAGATCTACCTTTAAGTTGTTCTTTGGTTTTTGGCTGAGTATGTACTCATACTATGTACCTCTCTCATTTTGTAGGACTTGCCACAGTTTTGACTAAAATGAGTTTATGTGTGGATGTCACCCTCACTCAACCATGAGACTGCATGTGGTTTGCATCCTCAGGATTGGCACATAGTAGGCACTCACTGAATACTTGTTCAGCAACTGCTTTCTCACCTGTTCTGTGGAACACTAGGCTTCTGTGGAGATGCTGCAAAGTTCTGTAAATGCTTGACTCAACATTTCACTTAACACGTGTTTTAAACTACTTAAACTCTAATAAAAACACAGGCAGACTTAAATGTGTTTTGTACTACATGACAACAGATTGGCGACTACTAGTTCTGTCAAGGTAACTTGTTCGCAGATCTTAAAATAAAGCATGCAGTTGAAAGACTTTTACTGTTGGGAATTGCTTATTTTCATTGTACCTGCACCAATAACAGTCACATCCTTCAAAACAAAAGCAAGGTCTGTTGAGATTGGTGTAGACTAGTGGGTGAAGTGCCTGGGCATCAGTGTCAGTGAGCTGAGTTCATATCTTACTCCATCTTTCACTAGTTGTGTGACCTTGAACAAGCTGTGTAACCGCTGAGTCAGTGTCATTTGTAATATAAAGAGACTTGTGAGGAATAAACACTGTTGCAAAATAAATGGCATGTGGGCCTCCATTAGCGTTGGCTGTTGTTCTTTCATCCTGAACCCCAAATGCCAAGTGTCTGAAGAGCCCTTTTTTTTTTCATGGATTGAATGTATAGGCTGAGGACTGCCACATTTAAGCCTGCAAAAATGCCCTTTGCTTTAAAAGGGTTGTAGGGGGTGGTTGTTGAACCATTGGTTTAGACCAGGAGAGGCTAGTCCTTAAGTTTATAGTTCCGCACAGTCATCACAGGGAAAGCTTCGAATTGAACGTGATCCCTGGGATGGGATCCTTCGGCTTCCTAATGAGGGCCTGCATACTCCTCCTATTTGTTCTGCCCATAGCTTCAGCTGAAGTTTGATGTCAGAAATGGACTTAACCTGGATCTGGTGGCTTAAAACTCATGCTGGGCGCATATGCACGTGTGCCCAAGATCCTGCGAAGAGAATAGAGGAGAAGGGATTGCTTGCATGGCCATCTTCCCTGGGGGATGATTTCTCGCTTTCTGTCTGTCTCTCCCTCCCTCTCTCCCTCTCTCCCTCTCTCCCTCTCTCCTTCTCTCCCTCTCCCCCTCTCTCCCTCTCCCCCTCTCCCCCTCCACTGAGCACATGCATCCTGTAGAAGGAAAATCTCTCTTAAAAAAAAAAAAGAAAGAAAGAAAAGAAATGGCCATAAAAAGAACATGACTGTAAAACTGCCAGTAAAGACTTGCTTGTGTATTCATTCCACAGAACCTTCTTGCACTCCAGTAATGAGTCTGGCACTGTGATGAAATTCTTTTCCCCCATCGACTGAGTGAATCTTCTCAACAACCCTAGGAGGTAGGTACTGTTGGCACTGTTGTTTCCATGGGACATCAGGATGTTAAAGGATATGAAGGAGCTTGCCATGAGCCTGTGCTCTTGACCAGCCTTTTTTTTTTTTTTTTTTAACCAGAAACAAGCCCTCCTTTCTGACGGTGTGCTTTTTATTTGCTCACAAAGGAATTTTCATTTTTGCCTTGGCTGCCCTGAAGCTCCACACCACTGTGCTACCTTTAGTGCTAGCTCGAGGTTTCCTGGATCACACAGGTGCCCCTCTCTCACTTAGCCCTTCTGTTTCCTTGTTTGTGTTACCTTTATTTTATTCTCTGGGATATGTCTCAAATTTGGGGTAAGTTAGGAAGAATGAATAAAATATTATATATTTCATCATAATACAATTTATAGCTGTTTCTGAGTATGAAACTTAGAAAAAAAAGGATGGGCAGGTGAAAATTTGTTGAAATAAACAATGATTAAAGTATAACCATTGATTGTTGGACTTTTTAAGGCTAAGAATAGATAGCATATAGGTGTGGTTTTTCTTTTAAGTAAAGATCTAGCTGCTAATAGAAGTCAGATACTTCTTTTACATTTTAATTCTTGTTTTGACTCAGAATTATGAAAACAAATGTATATTCCTAAGGTGAGCTGTCTCATTTGTGTCTTTGCAGATGATACTTGAACTGAACAATTAAGGTAAGATTTATGACCTATGTAACACTTTTCTTACTCAGATTTCTTTATAGAATTTATTTGAATTATGAAAATAATATTTTAACTTTGAAGAGAATTAGCACCTTTGAACAGTCATTGCAAACTGGAGTATAAGAGACTTGACTTTACATTTTTAGGTAAATTTCGGAAATTCCTAGTAGGCTACCTTTATTCATTTAACTTACACTAGAGACGTTTCAAAGGATTTTACTGTTTTAAGAGAAGAAACAAGGAAACATTTTTAATGTACTTAAGTTTACTGTGATTATGTTAATGTACGGATTAAATGAAGCTGGCTTTTGTGAAATGTCAATGGGAAATAAGATGATTTCTTTAATATATGCCATCATGTATGTGTGTATTACAACTCTACAGTTAGAATCAGGGACATGTTCATGTGTCGATTAGTCATTTTAGCGTATTCCAAAATATTCTCAAATAGAAATATTTAGGGGGCCCCAAACTGTAGACATGAAATGTAAGAAAATCATATCCTGTTGGGGCCAGCAGGTGCCATGGCGGTTAAGGCGCCAGACTCACACATGGCCAACTGAGGTTCACATCCCAGACCTGGTGGCTTAATTTCTCACTTCCTCTCTCTCTCTCTCATAAGTACATGTGCCCTATAGCAAGCTTAATAATAATAATAATTAATTAATTAATTAATTGTTTTTAAAAAAGAGCAAGAAAAAATTATACCTTGTTTCCTGCATGTGGGTGTAGCATACCCCAAAATTGGTCAGAATAGTGACACAGACTAGGAAATCCCACATTATTATGAAAAAAGAAAAGAACTATCAAAGTGTCCTGGTAAAATGATAAATTAACAAATCTCAAGGAATTCCTGAAACTTAATTGGTAAATGTGTGTAAGCAATAATCTGGGTAAGACTTGTGAGGTTGCTTGATTTCATTTATAATTTGATTTAAAGATTCTTAAACTTTAGTGCTGCACTATAAAACTTTGTGCCTGGTAAGGCAGGTTAGTAGAAACTTATTCAAATACAGGAATAAATGCTATGGGCTTATGGACATCTGGGCTGGCCCTGTAGGGCTGCAGTTAAGCACTGTGCAGAGGGAGCCAAGTTCTACTTGGCCAGCTGCAGTTTGAGTCTGGATCCCGACAGCTTGAAGAACATGCTGGCCACACCCTGTCACAGGGTACTTTCTCTCTCTCTTTCTGTTGTTTGTGCTCTCTGGCATAAAGAAATAAAAATAATTATGCATATAATTATGCTGTGTTATGCCGTTATAACCCAGCATGGGATTAATGTGGAACTTTGTGTTTATTGATATGTATCTTAAAAATTGGGGCCAGCCTTTGGCATGATGGCTGGATCCCACATGGCCTACTGTACAGTTTGAGTTCCAGACCTGGCAGCTTGAAAAACACACCAGGCAAGGGGCCAGCAGGTGGCGTGGTTGTTAAGGACGCTGGACTCCCACATGGCCAACCATGATTTGAGTCCCAAATCTGCTTTCTCACTTTATCTCTCCCTCTCAAATGAAATAATAATAAAGTTAAATAAAAATAATTATTTAAAAATTAAAAAATAGACACACAAGGTGGGTGTGTATGCATGCCCCAGATCCTGAGAGGAGCATGGAGGAGAAGGGATTGTGGTGTGGCCATTCCCCCTGGGGGGTGCTTTTTCTTTTTTTTTTCCCTCTGGCTCTCCAGCAAGTATACATGCCCTATAACAAAACTTAAAAAAAAAAGAAAAGAAAAGAAATTGTGTGAGGCCAGGCACAATGGTGCATGCTTGTGACCCAGCTACTCAGGACACTTAAGCCGGAGATCACCAGCTTGAGAGGGTGGCCTGGGAAACACAGGGCCACCTGTTTAAAAAAGAGCCAGGCATGATGGTGTGCACCTGTAGTTCTAGCTGGGCGGCTGAAGCAGAAGGACTGTGGCATGAGACTCTGTCTTTAAAAAATAAATAAATAAATAAATTGTGGGGACCAGCAGTTAGCGTAATGGCTATGTCACTGGACTCCCATGTCGACCGCGGGTCGCATCCCAGACCCAGTGGCTTAAAAA